TAATAATAATAATAATAATAATACTTTAATTTATACCCCGCCCTTCTCCCGAGGGACTCAGGGCGGCTTACAGGTAAGTAAAAACAGAGCTATACAATAAATATCTAAAAACCAAATTAAAATATATATTAAATAAACCTGTTATTAGAAAAATTATAAAATCCCAATTAAAATCCCTATAAACCCCCCCCCCTAGGCCAATCCCGCTTGATGGAAAAGCCATGTCTTGAGGGCACGGCGGAAGGAGGGGAGATCCGGAATAATCCGGATCTCTGGGGGGAGTTCACCTATAAAGAATAGGTGATTGTGGTCCCATCCTTATTTTCCTCAATTCTTTGCCATGAAATCCACAAATGGAATGTGTGCATGTAAGAATTGCAGTTCATTTTATCACCATGCCTCTTTACAGTCTTTTTTTGACATTGAGTTTTGCACTAAATGTCTGTTGGGAGCCCATCAACAAATTGAATGTAGACATTAGATTCTGAGTAAATATATATAAATTGTCAAGTGTTATACCAAATATATTATTATATTTTTTTTCCTAAGTAGGATGTGGGGATGGGAAAGGGAAGTGGAAGTATAGTAGCATGAAGTTAAAAAGATATATTTTTTTGGTTCCCTTTCTAATTATAGTATAGTCTTTCTAATTATAGTATAGTATAGTAAAAAGCTATTTTCCCGAGAACTTGACTTCTGAAATGTGTAACAGTTAAATTAATTACCTATATTGTTCTCCTAGGGATATTTGGATTGTGTTGTTTCCAAAACATAAGTAGTATTACTGAAAAATTAATATGTCTTGTAGTGGTACTCTATTTCAGTAGATATATGGAGTTAAAAAATTAGCTAGATTTACACATGTTCACAAATTAAGCATTTAACTCTACTTTATGGAACAGTTGCTTCTTAAGAAGGATAAATCTGATGTCCTGGCATATCTGATTCAGTAAAGGAGAATGCTAGAATGTCCATTCTAGGAAAAGGTTTTCTGATGTATTATCCATATCCCTCTTGAGTTTTCTTCTAATCTCAAGTTTTCCTTAGTAATAGTAATATCTGATGGGAAAATCTAACCTTGTTATGTCCTAAAGTAGAGAGAAAGATGGGAACTTTTTTCCACAGGGTGCTAGCACAATTATAAATGCTACTGCGCACTTCATTTGTTTTATGTTTTTCTATGCCAAAGCAATGGGGAGGTAGAGCAAGCCAGCCTAGAAACATGTAGAGCACAGAGGAAAAGGAACCGTTCATGAGTGAATAACATGTACTTTTCTCTGTTAGGCCATTCAGCCCATATGACAATTTGATCACTGAAAAGGAATGATAGGGGATTTATGAATAATGTTTTCTGGATGGCTGCCGGCCAGCCCCAGTGCAATTGTCTGAATGTGCTACATTCTATTAGCACAGATGGATGGACGTGAAAAGTGGCCATCAGTGGAAGTTCTAAGAGCTTTTCACTGAATAATGGATGAATATTTCTGTCCTAATGGCAAACAAGCCTGCATAGTCTGTGTATTTAGCTTATTTTTCTATGTTGGCACAATAATTATTTAGGTTCTCTTAATTCAAACAAAGTAAATTAAACTTTGATGAAATTTTATGATAGGTTTCTAGAATTGGGAAAAAATAAATAGGAAACATTGTTTCTTTTTTTTGTTTTATCATGAAATTATTGTTAATTTTGGAAGGTATTGGAATGTAGTGCTGGGCAAAAATGTGGATTTGGGGAGGATAAAATAATTTAAACAACGAACAGGCATTCACATAGCATATATTGGCAATATCCAAAAATAACCGAGATTTTTTTTTTCCAGGATTGCATATGAACAGTGGAGGGCAGCATTGTAAGCTTAGGAAAAAGACAAATTTGCTTTAAATTCTACCAAAGTACTTTTAACCAATCCAGCTTTGTTCCTAGCTCTTTGAAGCTCTGTGCTGAGATTCAGATACTTAACCTGCTTTTGTCTTTTCAGCTAAAGCCTTTGAGTATTATTATTGCATTCCTCTAATCCTCTGTTACCCAATGAAACTTTTCAAATGTGTCGATACATGGTTGGATTTGGAAATCTGGTACTGACCCAAATAGAATAAATAAGTTATTCTTAAGTTTAAACTCCATATCATGGAGTTTGCATAAATGCAGTACATTGTAAAAAGGTGTTCCATGTTTTATCATTTTATAAATATAAATTGCCACTATTTTTACTCAATAGTAACATTACTGTTTTGTTCTAATTTATTAAAACTCAGAACTTGGTTTTAAGTGCTTCTGCATAGTTAGTCTTTGCTTAATGACCATCTGTCAGTGACTATTTAGAGTTCTGATGGCGCTGAATGAATAATACTTGTAGCCAGTGGTTGCAGTGCTTCTGTTGATCACGTGATTAAAAAAATAGCCCTCGTTTATAAGTGCAGCACTTCAACTCTCCCCACCTTCTAACTCCCCCACCCCCTCATCTCTACTCTGTATTCCACTACAGCGGACATGTCAAACTCGCGACGTCACGTGACGCCGCGCAACGTATCAGGACTGTTTTGCCATTGCCGGCAATGGGGTGGGCGCGGCTTCCGCATGACGCATCCAGTCCGCAGGCCGGCAGTTTGCTACCCCTGCCACTCCTAGCTGGCCATTGGCATCTTCTTCCCGCTGCTGGCCTGGGATCCAAGCGCTATGCAAGGGCGGAGCTAGCAGAGGAGGCAGGGCAGTGATGAAGCCGTGGCTTGCTGCCACCTTTGCCCAGGGAACTTCTGCCTGCAGTGCCACCCTGCCTTCTCCACTAGCTCCATTCTGCTGCTTCCTCCTTGGCTGGCTCAGTGAGCTCTTTTTGGCAGACAAGGCTCCATTGTGCTTGCTACCTACCTCCCTTGGCTGCAACTTTGCCCAGTGTCTGGATCCTGGGCCAGCAGTGGGAGGAAGAAGACAGTGAAGGTCAGAGGGAAGTGATGTGGTGGCCAAAAGGGAAGAGAGAGGAGGGAGGTAGGAGTGGGGAAACTTGAAACAGAGGCAACTGCAGCAAGGCTGCCGAGCCTCATCTGCACAAGGCTTGAGGTCTTTATCTAAATATGGATCAGTTCTCACCTATTGACCACAATCAGGACTTCTGGGACTGCCGAGCGAGGACTACCAGTATTTCAGATTCCTCTAGCTGTTAAATGAATATATATTGCTTAAAAGTATATGTTCTGAACTCTGATGGTATTGATGACTGCTACTTTCCCCTCCATGCAGGGAACTGTTTTTAGTTTGGATTCTGAAGAGGAAGAGTTCCATGGAGTCATTGCTGAAGACAGCAATGACATCTACATCCTAACTAGTGACAACTCAGGCCAGGTGAGCCCACCTGAGTCACCCACGGTAACAACATCTTGGCAGTCGGAGAGCTTACCTGTTTCGTTGTCGGCCAGCCAGAGCTGGCATACAGAGAGCTTGCCAGTTTCGTTGGGGCCCGAGTCGTGGCAGCAAGTAGCTATGGATCCTGAAGAAGTAAAAAGCTTGGACAGCAATGAAGGTGGAGAAGAAAGGAGCGAAAACAACTCTTCGAATTCAGATATTGTACATGTTGAAAAGGAAGAGATACAAGAGAGTGTCGAGGAGGCAGCAGTGTCAGAAGTGGGCCTGCAACCAAGTGCTAAAAAATTGAGCTTGCCAGAAGTCCCAGCTGCGTTGCTGAAAACAGAGGCCGAAAGCTCGTTGATTAAAAGACTCAGCCCTTCTGCACCTTTGCCCACTGAGGGTGACAAAGAGGGGAGAGTAGTGGAATATCCTGAACCTGAGCCTCTGATGTTGAGTAAGTCTGCCAAACAACTAACTCCTTCGAGTGAAAAGGCTTCCCCCAAGCCTGAGAAAATACAACTACCAGAAGAAGAAGCAAAACTACCGAGAGAGAGCTATTCTGAAGAAAAGTCTCCTGAGGGAGAGGAGAAACCCATTCTTTTGCCAGAGGGCAAATCACTTCTGCTGTACGGTGGGGCGGCTGCCGTAGCCATCCTGGCTGTCGCAGTAGGTGTAGTGCTGACACTGAGGAAAAAGTAGTCAATTCTTCTCTTCAGAGATACTGCCTGAATCCCCACACTTGGTTGCGTTGACTAAGGTTTGCTATGCCTCCTGTTAATGAGAAATCCATGTAACGTGACAGGAAGGCGGGGCATGAGTTTACTTCTAATTCTAGGACAATCATGTTTTTAGTGGCCTGGAACTGGATCTTCCTCTTTAACTGTAGGGGTAATATTGGAACTCCCTTGCACATTTAAGTATCTCGATATATCTGAAAATATTGGTGGGGGGAGAGGGGTTTGCTTATATACATGGGAAATTGGATCAGGAAAAGTTAATTGTTAACCCTGGAGAATTCCTTTATGTAGCTGCCATTGCAGCTTCTTTGTTCACCTCCACCTCTTGAATGAGAGGCTCTCTAATCATGTAGCATGAGGTTACTTCCCCTTTTGTCTCAACTTCCTCAGGTACTGCATTGCTCCCAAATTTTATGATTAAACCCCTAAAGCTATGAAATGAAAGCCTTCCACGTAAGGATGAAAGTGTTATGCATTTTGGAGAAAGGTAATGTTTTTTCATCATTGTACATTAGGCATTTTTGTAATCTGGTATTGTTGTGTTTCTGTCCCTATCCTTTCCCTCAACTCTCATTCATCCAGCTTTATCGTTCGTGTCAGTTTAGTTATCAAAGATACACACTCCTTTCGTGTGAATACCCATCACCATTTTGATGAATGCAAAGGAAGAAAATATTTCCATGCAATAAGCAAAAATGTACAAGGCCAAGAGCTGAATACTATGTAGGTAGCGCTAGATCTGGACACGCATTTGTTTAGTGACTGTTCAAAGTTATGATTCTACTGAAAAAAGTGATTTATGACCATTTTTTCACACTTATAACCATTGCAGCATCCCCAGGGTCATGCGATCAAAATTTGAATACCTGGCAGCTGGCATGTATTTATGATGTTTGCTGTGTCCTTTTGTGACCTTCTGATAAGCAAAGTCAATGGGGAAGCAAGATTCACTCAGCAGCAATTTGCTAATTTAACTGCAGTGATTCACTTAACAACTATGGCAAGAAAGGTCATAAAACGCACTTAGCCATCTTGCTTAGCAACATAAATTTTGGGCTCAGTTGTGATCATAAGTTGAGGACTACTTCTACGAATTTAATTCAAAAATGTGTTTCAAAATGCATGAAGTATAAATAGACTTATCTGCAACTCTTTAAGGCAATTATGGTTTCCCCCAAGATAGGATGGTTGCCCTCCATATTTTCTTTCTCAGAAAAAGATAGCTGCTTTAGAAAGTTGAAAACAGGTGCTATGATGCACTTCTGTATCTTCTGAAACACTTTTTGTACCTGAGCTTGAAGCAGTATGGCCCTATGAAATTCCGGTATTTAATAGATTAAAATCTGATTACTTATAGATTAAAATCTGATTTGTTAATCCAGTTGCAAGATTGGAACACTTGGTCTTACTTTACTTTTAGCATTGTAATGAATTCAAAATCTCAAGGAAATGACTCAGAAGTTAACTGAGATAGCGTTTGTCATTTCCAAAAGACAACTGAACTTTCTTGTTTTTTCCCCTGAAAATGTTTCGCTTCTCATTCAAGGAGCTTCTTCAGTTCCTGGGTGAGAAGTGAAACGTTTTCAAGGAAGAAAATCAAGGAAGTGCAGTTGCTTTTTGGAAAAGCCCCTTGGAGACAACCGTTACCTGGATGATTGAGAATCTCCATCGGCATGAAATAGCATTTGCTTCCAATTTCCACTTTTCTGGCCACTGGAGGAGAAATGATTTGAAACTATGTCTTATTTTGCTCATGTAACTTTTCAGGTAACTTCTTTCTATGTGTAGACAATTCCTTTTTATTCCATCAGCTATAATTGGGCTCAGAAAAAAAAATAAAATTGATCACTTATGTCAAATTGTTATTTTGTGTGTGTTAGAAAGCTCAAGATGATGACATTGTCATCAGTAACATAGTACCACAGGTTTTTACTTGAACAGTGAAATGGCAGCAGCCTCTTTTTACATTTTTTGGAGATGAGCTTATAATTTCCTCTTTCCCTTCCCGTTAAACCTGCTATAAAAAAAATCAAATTTGACGATACAAAGTTGGAGTGTTTTAGCTACTCCCATCTCTAGTCAGTATGCAGGTATGACAGATTATACCGATAAACTTTGTATTCACATATTGTAGGACACTCGGTTTAATATACCTAAAGTCTTGTTTAAATTTACTTGCACTTTTCCATAGTACTATTTATTACGCATTTTTCAGAAAAAAATTCAGTGCCTCAGTATGTTCCAGTGAGGTTTAACTCTTTTCCCCTGTCTTCTGCCCAAAAATTTAGCTGTAACCCCGGGTGTCAAAACTGGCGGCCCGAGGGCCAGTTGCACCATATGGAGGCTGCGCCCACCCCAGCTCCAGCAATACAAAAAAAGTCACTATAGGTCGCGTCACGTCACATGACGCAACGAGTTTGACACTCGTGCTGTAACCACAAGTTACTTTTTTTGATGGGGGGAGGGACGCTCATATTGGACAAAGTGAATATTGAATGATTGCTGCCAGTGGGTGTTCTGATACGAGCATTGTCGCTAAAAGATTGCTATACTAGATTTTGGCTGCAGCTTGTTTCATCCCCTGAAATAAACTTTGATGATTTCTACAATAAATTGTGGAGGAAATAAAGGTAGTACTCAACTTACAGTTCATTTAGTGATTGTTTGAAGTTACAATGGCACTGCAGTGACTTATGACCGTTTTTCACACTTATGACTGTTGCAGCATTTCCATGGTCACATGATCAAACTTCAGACGCCGGGCAACTGACTCATATTTATGACAGTTGCAGTGTCCTGGGGCTCATGTGATCACCTTTTGTGACCTTCTGACAAGCAAAGTCAATGGGGAAGCCAGATTCACTTAACTGTGCTACTAATTTAACAGCTACAGTGATTCACTTAATAACTGTGGCAAGAAAGGTCATAATAGGGCAAAACTCACTTAAAGATCTCATTTAGCAACAGAAATTTTGGACTCAATTGTAGACGTAAGTTGAGGACTGCTTGTAATCAGTATAAGGTTGAATTATCAATCCATTTTGTCCAATTTCAGCCATGTGTCTATTTGACCAGAAGGTAACAGACTGAACAGCTGAGATAACGTCTCTTACATTTCCAGGATGATTATTTAGAGTTATAGCTATGTTCATTCTAATGATCCAACATCTCAACCAATAAGCAGTGAGATGTGCTTTTCATAGACAGCAAAAATGCTAGAGTTAGGGGGAATTGTGGGGAATTATGAATTGACCCTTTCAGATACTGGTATGTTACAACTTGATTATAGATTATCAAATTTCTGAATTGGGGCAAATTCTCTAGTTTGAATATTGGTGCTTCATAATGGATTAGACCTTGGTTAAGATGTGAAAACTTGTATTTGGTTTTCCAGAACTGCAGTCATTAGTTCTGTAGAAAACATTACCCTATCCTTCACAGTACTAGTGAAACGAAGGCTAAAGTAAATTTATATCAATAGGATTTGAATATGTGTCATGTAACTGTTACTTCAAAATAGTCTGTAGTTCTGCAACAGAAGTTCTACAATGTTGTTGGACTAAATGCTGCAAGCTACAGTACTTTCTCCTTCCTGCTGCTTCCATTGGGGAAACGTGCTTGAGATGCAAGAGAAACAGTTTTGCTGTCTACTGAAATATTTGTTTCCTTCACGTGGATATACTTTTGGTTCCCGAACTACCTGCTGTGGATGTCCTGCAAGAGTTCTTGAAAGCAATATAAGTGTCATGCTTGCTTAGTGTTTTGCACAATGAACTGGAGCTAGGCAATTATTTTAAAAAATAGATGCTTCAGAACCTGCTTGTCCATATCTGAAGCATTTCTACATTGTGATTTTTAATCTGGTTGGAAAGCTGCCTGTCTGACCTTAGTTTGTATATTGACCCAGGAAAAAAAGAGCTGCCTGTATTTACGGCTTGAAAACCGTTCCAAGAATTCAGAGCCCTAAAATAACCCATGTTACTTAAAAAAATAAAGCCATTTGGTGATTTCTCCTTGAAGGACAGTACTGTTTTTACTTCGTGCTAACAGTTTCATGAGAATGCACAGCTCTTCTTCCTAGCATTGGACGTGTTGAGGCAAACTGATATTTCCTTAAGCTGTATGACCATAATTATTTCCCTGGAGCTATTTTAACAAATATGGTGAGGAGGGCAGACATAATCTCCATCTTACTGTTACAGGCTTCTACTGTATGAATTAAAAAATACTGCCTCCAGTGTTAAAAACAAGTGTTCCTACTGTTTATAAAAGATGATGTGTATTTTTGCTTGAACGATAATCTCAAGTAAAACCACGCCCTTATTTGTATTTTATTAAAGTTAAATTTTGAAGAAAAAGTGTGTGGACTTTTAATAGCTGGAGCAAAACATATACTACTTTAAAATTTTATTAGCTGTAGAAAAAGAATGGCTGTATAATGTAGTAGCCTTCCACAAGTTGGTTTTTCTCAGATATAATCCATACTCAGGCCAGAAAGCCTGTACAACTGAAAAATCAAAGCACACAAAGAGACAGCCATATCCATTTAAATATTTAGAGTTGAGTCCATTCAAATGATCCAATATCTCAACCAATAAACTGAGATTCCATCCCTCTTGCCAGTACCTACAAGCTAGAATTTTTCAGATTACTTTTCAAATATCTTAACAGTCTAAATTACAGTATCAAAGATAAACAAGCATATAAACCTTTCAAGTCAATTTATAAAATGTAATGTTTTTGTAAACAATTTGACTTCTGACTTAGTTCCCAACTTTAAAACAGAGACCTTCATCAAATCTTTAAAAATTGTACAATGGCTATCACTTCCCCCCTCCCCATTAAAATCTGTATTCCAGCAATGGCCAAACCCAATCATAAATATTATAATTGATCTTTACTGTACTGGTATCCAACAGGGTCAATTTGCAAATAGGCAATTCCCTTTCCTAATACGTCTACAAAATCTGTAGTAGAGAGAATCAGTCTCAGTTGAGAACAATTGTTTCTGGCTCATGCATTTTTCATATTAAATATGAAAAACAATACTCTTATTTTAATTGACTTTATATTATGGCAATTTTTAATTGGCAGATAAATGAAGCAGATTAACATGCATGGCCTTTTCTTAAAAAAATTCACAATTATAAATCAAGTATATTCTCAGATAGCAAATGGAAGGACACACTGTCTAATGATATTGTAAGGTGGTCATTAGCTTCTGTTCCTTTTTTCAAGGAGAGATGCCATCAACACCACAATCCTGAGAATAATAATCCACTTTGCTTTTCTCCTACAAGGCGCATAAAAAATGACCTAAGATGTCAAGTAGAAAATGAGAACTGCCAATTCATACTTCAGTCAACTAAGTAGAGTAATGAAGTACATAGATAAAAAGTTCAAAAATGTCTTAAAAATATCAAAATGACACAATTTTTCTTAAATTGTAAAAATTTAAAAAAAACACACAAAATGAATTCTTCCATGTAGATATATGCATTCCTTTTGTTCAGTTCTAGAAAAGAAACAAGAGAGAATTAATTGCATCCATTACAACTGTTAGTTACATTAAGAAAATGACTAATCAGATATTTTCTAAAGTAACTAGCCAAGAATGTGTCAAGACGAGCTGAAAATCAGTACAAGACTGCACATTCTTCCCCCTGTAAGTTCTAATATATTGTAGATTCTTGTGGTTAGATATCACACAATAGACATTTTAGCTTAGGGCATAGTGCAAGCCTAGTTTATGTAGTTAGTGTCTAATTCATTGAGTTGCGTTAACTGAATAAATCATGTCTAATCCAGATGACCTTTGTCCTTCACTCCCTGATCTAATTACTAAGATCAGAGTGTGCTGAAGAGGTTTTACATAAAATGTTAATTCTTGACAAATTCAAGACATATTCTAGGTCAGGGGTAGGCAACCTTGGCTCTTTTATGACTCGTGGACTTCAATTCCCAGAATTCCTGAGCCAGCCATACTGAGGGGAAAGGGAGAGGTTTCCAAGCTGAGCCATGCTGGCTCAGGAATTCTGGGAGTTGAAGTCCACGAGTCATAAAAGAGCCAAGGTTGCCTACCCCTGTTCTAGGTCATTTAAGGATATCACTCATAGCTATAGAATTGGCCTTTTAAAAATGTAACCGTATTGGATCTGTTTTTAGCAGGTCTTGGAAACACTGGCCTCAAAGAGCTCTCATGGAGTCAGAATAATACAGGTAATCCTCGACTTACAACCATTCATTTAGTGGTTATTCAAAGTCATTAACAGCACTGAAAAAAGTGACTTATGACCATTTTTCACACTTATGACCATTGCAACATCCCCATGGTCAGGTGATCATAATGGCAAATGGCCTATATTTATGATGGTTGCAGTGTCCTGGGATCATGTGATCACCTTTTGTGACTTTTTGACAACAAAGTCAATGGGGAAGCCAGATTCACTTAACAACTATGCAAAAAGAGGTCACAAAATTCACTTAACTGTCTTGCTTAGCAGTGGAAATTTGGGGCTCAATTGTGATAAGTCGCGGACTACATGAAAAAGTGTATCAAGCCAAAACTCCCAGGCTGCCCAACATCTTGGAGCTAAGAAACCTCTCATACCACCTTTTCAGCATTAGGTTCTATGAATTTAACCTCCTTGAAAGAGGCATAAGAATCACTCTTATAAAGGTATTAAATCAGGATTTCTCAAACTTGGCAGCTTTTAAGACATGTGGCCTTATACGCTCAGAATTCCCCAGCCAACCAACCAACCATCTCCTCTGATTTGGAGATAAACAACTAGAATGCAATATTGTGATTTTATCTATAATCACCTCAGGTCCCAAATTGTTCACATAATCGTGGAGGTTCTGGTCAATATAGTTCACTGTTGTGTTGAACACCTGCTGCAGGATCTCAGGGACTACATTGGCTACTTTCTTGGCCAAAAGCATTGCAGCCACTAACATGGCTTTTTCCACTTCCAATTCCCGAGGCATCCTTGCCATGACGTTCTGCACTGCTAGAGACAGATGCTGGATCCGCTACAGAAACAGAAGAACAAACACCTCTCTAAAATGCTGTTCTGGCCCCTTGAACTCTACAGTAATCCAGCCAGATGCTAGATTTTTCTCCTGACTGTGATCAAGACTACAACTAAAAAACATTACAAATAAAATGTAAATTAACGAGAGAATCTTTACAGTTTCAATTATGTACAAACTGTAACAATGTTCAGTTACTAATTATAATTAATTGCACCATCCCAGCATGTATAAATGGAGATAATCATTTATCCTCATGCCCTCACTGGACTTTTGTGTCTTCTATCCCATTTTTTTGTCAGCTAAGGAGATACTTCAAAGACCATCCAAATTCAACTTCTATTTTTAGCTGTATTCAGCAACAGAACTGCCCTCCAAATTCATTTTTCAACTAAGTTGATCAGAACACTGAGAAGTCCCAATCACCTAAAGCCATTTACTAGATACGCATGTGATAATTGGAAAAAGAAGTCATGGTCTGGAATGAACTGCCCCCAGAGATCAGGGTGATCCCTGATCTCCCTTCCTTCCGCCGCGCCCTTAAGACATGGTTATTCCAGCTTGCCGGACTGGCCTAGGGGAAACTTTTAGAGGGGTTTTAATTATATTTTAATTAGATTAAATTTAAATATTTCCTTTTTAACTAATTTTTAAATTTGTAATGTTATTTGTGTATTTTTACCCGATTGTTAGCCGCCCTGAGTCCGCAAGGAGAAGGGCGGGATATAAATTTAATAAAATAAATAAAAATAAATAAATGGTTGACGAAAACAGAAGAACCCTCAAAAAACCCAAGTACAAGATTTGTTTTCTCATTAAAGTCCTCCTGTGCTATCTTATTAAACCCCCTAGGTTTCTACTCTTTCTCACCTGACTGGGCACATTTTCCACCCTGAATTGTTGTGCCAGGTTCTGCACAAATGAGGGCTCAATCTCAGCAGCCAGTTTATCGCCCATTACAGCCAATCGTGCTCCTATTTTCCGGAAAATTTCCTCATCGGCCTCTGAATTTAAATCCATGAATGAAAAAGACGAAGAATAAGTTGACTTTCAAGCATACAAGAATATTGTGCAACCTAGATCATAGCTAACATTAGAACACTGGATTTAGGACAAGATTGGATCCTGCATATGATTTCTATGTCAGAATACACAGGTGTAACTTTTCAATTCATTTTGGAAGGAGGCAAAGGAATTATAGTGCCATCCCTTGCAAAAAATAGTGTCCTCTGGTTGTGGTATTCTCTTCCCACCCATAAGAGGGAAAGAAACATTTAGTTCATCACATTTGGAAGTCACTATTTTGGAAGGAATAAATTAAGTGAAGAGGAAATTCAAGACATCTGCAGAAATATACAGGTAATCCTTGACTTACAATCACAATTGGGACCAGAATTTCCTTGGTTATTAAATGAGTTGTGCCTGTTTTTATGACCTTTTTTGCCACAATTGTTACCTGAATCACTACAGTTGTTTAAGTAAATCATGCAGTCATTCAGCAAGTCAGGCTTCCCCCATTGACTTTGCTTCTCAGAAGCCAGCTGGGAAGATCACAAATGGTGATCACATGACCCTGGGATGCTGCAACCATTGTAAATACATGCTGGTTGCCAAGGATTCAAGTTTTTACCACATGACTGGAGATGCTATAATGTTTGTATATATGAGGACTGATTGTAAGCCACTTTTTTCAGTGCCATTGTAACTTCAAACAGTCATTAAACAAATGGTTGTATGCCAAGGACTACTTGTATTAAGGGGTAGAAGGGCATTGTACTTAATTAGTGTTCCAGCTCAACAGTCATACAATTAATAGCAACGCAAAGAATTTTTGTGAACATGGATGCGCACAGAGCTGCTTCTCCTGGAAACTTGCTTCTTTCTGCTCTAACAATTCACAACCTAGTACCGTGGTGGCGAACCTATGGCACGCGTGCCACAGGTGGCACGCAGAGCCCTCCCTGTGGGCACACACGCCATCGCCCCAGTCCTAGGCCTTCAGCTGGGTTTTATAAAACCTTTTCGCTTTAGGCCTCTGCCACCGTGTGCAAAAAAAAAATCAATCAATCAATCAATTTCAACTTCTCACGGGAAAAAAAAGATCTTGCAAAATTGGAATTGATTGAACTTTTTAGTCCCACCCAGTCTGTCGCTACCACCGCAGCCATGCCCACCCAATGGGCCACGCCCACCCAGCACCCGACGATACATAAGTGGGTTTTGGGTTGCAGTTTGGGCACTCGGTCTCTAAAAGGTTCGCCATCACTGACCTAGTATCTACAGGAAGAGGTTGGTTCACTTCCCTTCAAAAGGGAAGTTGGTTCACTGCCTGCTCTATAGAAATATGATTAAAAATATGCCACTCCTGCCCACTTTAAGAGTTCAACATTTGGATGTAGCTTGACATTTCATGAGCACAACTATTAAAACCGTCTTAAAGTAGTAAACTTGGTCCTATATACAACTCGGATTGTTTCAGCGGTTAGGTCACAATTGTTATTAAGGAAGTAATAAGTTTGACTTTTCATCCTCTATTTCTTGAAACGAGTGGGTTACGAGACAGAAGATGAGCGGGTTTTGATAACGGTAGACAGACTTCGAGGGGTAGTAGTATTGCACTATAAGACTGCTTTGGTGCCAACAATTGTTTTTTCAAACTAGAAAGTTTGGAAGCAAAAGCAACATCGGAGGAATTTTCCAGGAAAGAGTAGAGAACAATACAGGTGACTTCTGTATTACCATAATGGTCACTCTGTTGGAAGAGACACAAAACATTATTTATTAAGAGAATGTGCAGGCCCTACATGACAGGATGAGGAGCAGGAATCTACCTGTGTTAATTTTGAATTTGAACATTCCTCCATTGTCACATCAGTTAGTATTTAATTATTTTCATAGCTACTGAATGTATTCGGTCTTTGCTAAACTGGCTCCTAGTGGGAAGGGATGTTCCCCTGCTATCCAAACTAACACCTTGGACATTGAAAATAAAGCAAACTGTGCAATTTTTTTTTAAAGAAAACTCTTCCTGAATAAACAATAAGCATTGAATCAAAAGACAAACCCATATAGTATTTGTTAGTAATTTTGAATCCAACCTGATTCATTGTAGCTGCTGAAACAAGGCAACTGGATTATCTTTGATTTGCAGAAGCCGTATATCATCTATCTGGAAAAGAGAAATTACAAATAAAAAGTGTGAAAATGCTTTATAAGGGACATATTTCACAAATTTTAGAAGAAAAGGAGATGGAACCTGTTAGTTAATGGTAGTGAATCAAACATCTCCAAGTCTACCTTCAGAATTGGGGACAGATTAAAGGCTTTTTTTAATTTCTATCAATATAATAATAGTAAAGATTGTTTCCTTCCTCTCCCCCCCCCAATTCACTTTTCACTTTGTGTCACCAAAAATCAGTGATCAACTCTCACTAAAGTTTAGATGACTTCTAAAGTCCCTTCCAACTCTGTTATTCTGTTAAATTCTGTTTCTCCCCACATTACTCTCTTCATCAAAGGTATCCTGGAAGCACCATTCAACTATCTAAAGCAGTGATGGCGAACCTTTTAGAGACCGAGTGCCCCAAAACCACCCCCACCCCACTCTGCCCCATCCCGCCCACTCTGCCCCCATCCCCAGCCTGCTCTGCCCCGCCTGCCCGCAGGGCCACTCACCGCCTCCACGACCCACTGCAGATCGCCCAGGTGGCCCAGCACTGCCATGGTGGCCATGCCCTCCACCCACACCCTGCAGCAGCATCTGTGCGCAATGGAGTGCGAGGGTGGAGTCTTGTCCCAGCTGTCCAGCTCCATCTGAGTGGGCCGTGCTCGGGGGCGACTCTCCTCGGGGGGGGGGCTGCTGGTGAGTAGGGGGCCACGGGGGAAGGCGGGACTGGGGCGACAGCACCACAGAAAGGGCTCTGAGTGCCGCCTCTGGCACGCATGCCATAGGTTCGCCACCACTGATCTAAAGTATGGGCGGTAACATGGAGATAATCTAAATGTTGATTTGTTCTTCTACCAATTATATCTCTGCAAAAACAGAGGACAATGAACAACAGCAATGACAACTTGGTCAAAAGACTTCCCTCAACAGTCAGTGATGGGAATTATAAAAATACAGTGAGTTGAGGAAGGATCCTTAGACCAGACCAAATACTCCAAGCAACTTCTCTAAGAGGCCTGGTATCTTTTGCTTCCCTCATGGATGGGATGGAAGATGGTTCTTCTATTTTCAATGAATGTACAAAGATTAAAAATAAAATCAAGGTGACTCTTAAAAAATTTTCTGTCAGTAAATAGCTGAGACAAGCAAAGCCAGTAAGCTGGGATAGTAAATTGTTCTCCGGGGGAAAAATGTGTGCAATATTCTGAACAATAAAAATAAATATGATAAAAAATTTCAGGTTTGTTACTTCTAGGAATGATACATTTATAATGAATATACAGTTCCTTTCATCTCCTAAAGTTATTGCGTTAATAATTCTCATATTTCCTTTTTTCCCTAACACCAAATAATAGAACAAATGCATGCTTTTCCAATTATATTTTAAATTTTAAAACATTTCTCTAAAATGTTTACATAATGCTGTTCATTTTGTTTAGATATGTGCATTTAAAATGCAATTGTACACAGGTTGACACAACTCGGTCCACACATGCTCAGTATGGCTAATTTTAAGGCAATGGTGTGCAGGACTGCAATATCTCACGTTTTCCTCCTCTTCAGATATTTTCTCCTGAAAATATTTCTCTGCTGCACAAGACTTTGAGCCATTTATACAAGATACAAGTCTTTTTGTGTTATTATATACAGTAAAAAAAAGTCAAACATGTCTTTAATCCTCAGAGGACAAAAGGAAAAAAATATTTCTCTGTTCTTTGTTAGAGCCTCAATCAAACCAGAAGATGGAAGACAAAAATAGTGATGGAAGTGACGATTCCAGGCAATAAATACACTTTGGGGGAGCCCCAGAAAAGTAGGA